GTTTGCTAATTTTCCCTTTTCTAAATTATAGAAAATTCGTAATACATAAAATTCGAAATTTAACATAATCGGTGATTTTGAAAATAAAATCAAAAGAAATCTCACTAAATAATTGGTGACTTCGAAATTACCTTTATCGATTGAGAGATTTCTTGAATTAATTGAGAGATTTGCTGAAGAAATTGAGAGAAACTTGAAGAATTAGTTTTTCTTGAACAATGAGGGAGAGAACAATGGTGAAAACGTAAAGAAAAATAAAATAGGTGAAAACGTGAAAGATGGGGAAAAAATTTGTTGGGGTTAAAACCTAGAAAGAAGGGTAATAAGTAGTGGATATATTTTTTATTTTCCTTTTTACCGGTTAGTGGTGTAGAAATTGGTCCAATGTTGGACTGTTTCGAGAAATAAAAGGAAAGAAAAATAGTAACATTGGATATAAATTATTTTCTAAAATATTGACATTTTGAATAATTATTTTAAAGTGTAATGTTTTTACTAATTATTTTAGTAATTGTGACTAGTTTGCTAATTTTCCCTTTTCTAAATGACGGAAAATTCGTAATACATAAAATCTGAAATACAACATAATTGGTGATTTTGAAAACAAAATAAAAAAAAATCTCACTAACTAATTGGTGACTTCGAAATTACCTTTATCAATTGAGAGATTTCTTGAATTAATTGAGAGATTTATTGAACAAAATGGGAGAAACTTGAAGAATTAGTTTTTTTCTTGAACAATAAGCGAAAGAACAATGGTGAAATCGTGAAGAAAGAGAAAAAATAGGTGAAAACGTGAAAGATGGGAAAATATTTTCTGAGGTTAGAACCTAGAAAGAAGGGTAATGGGTAATGGATATATATATATATATATATATATATATATATTTATTTTATTTTTTATTTTTTTTATTTTTTTTTACTAGTTAGTGGTGTAGAAGTTGGTTCAACGTTGGATTGCTTTGAGAAATAAAATGAAAGAAAAATAATAATATTTGGATATAAATCATTTTCTAAAATATTGACATTTTGAATAATTATTTGAAAGTGTAGATGTTTTTACTAATTATGTTAGGGATTGTGACTAATTTGCTAATTTTTCTCTTTTCTAAATGACGGAAAATCCGTAATACATAAAATTCGAAATACAACATAATTGGTGATTTTTAAAACAAAATCAAAAGAAATTCACTAAATAACTAGTGACTTCGAAATTACCTTTATCAATTGAGAGATTTTTTGAATTAATTGAGAGATTTGTTGAACAAATTGGGAGAAACTTGAAGAATTAGTTTTTCTTGAACAATGGTGAAAACGTGAAGAAAGAGAAAATAGGTGAAAACGTTAAAGATGTAAAAAAAATTTACTGGGGTTAAAACCTAGAAAGAAGGGTAATGGGTAGTAGATGTATTTTATTTTTCTTTTTTACTGGTTAGTGGTGTAGAAGTTAGTCCAATGTTGGACTGTTTTGAGATAAAAGGAAAGAAAGATAACAATATTTGGATATGTATTATTTTCTAAAATATTGACAGTTTGAATAATTATTTAAAGTGTAGATGTTTTTTTCTAATTATGTTAGGGTTTGAGACTAGTTTTCTAAATGACGGAAAATCTGTACTACATAAAATCGGAAATACAACATAATTAGTGATTTTTAAAATAAAATTAAAGGAACTCTCACTAAATAATTGGTGACTTCGAAATTACCTTTATCAATTGAGAGATTTCTTGAACTAATTGAAAGATTTGTTGAACAAATAGGGAGAAACTTGAAGAATTAGTTTTTCTTGAACAATGAGCGAGAAAACAATGGTGAAAACGTGAAGAAAGAAAAAATAGGTGAAAACATGAAAGATGGATAAAAAAAAATTGGAGTTAAAACCTAAAAAGAAGGGTAATGGATAGTGGATGTATTTTTTTTTCTTTTTTACTGGTTAGTGGTGTAGAAGTTGGTTCAACATTGGACTGTTTTGAGAAATAAAAGGAAAGAAAAATAATAATATTTAGATACGAATTATTTTCTAAAATAATGACATTTTAACATTTTGAATAATTATTTTAAAGTGTAGATGTCTTTACTAATTATGTTCGGGGTGTGACTAGTTTGCTTATTTTCTCTTTTCTCAATGACGAAAAATTTGTAATACAACATAATTGGTGATTTTGAAAACAAAATCAAAAGAAATCTCACTAAATAATTGGTGACTTCGAAATTACCTTTATCAATTGAGAGATTTGTTGAATTAATTGAAAGATTTGTTGAACAAATTGGGAGAAACTTGAAGAATTAGTTTTTCTTGAACAATGAGCGAGAGAATAAAGGTGAAAACGTGATGAAAGAGAAAATAGGTGAAAACGTGAAAGATGGGAAAAATTTACTTGGGTTAAAACCTAGAAAGAAGGGTAATGGGTAGTGGGTGTATTTTTTTTCTTTTTTACTGGTTAGTGGTGTAGAAGTTGGTCCAACGTTGGGCTCTTTGAGAAATAAAAGGAAAGAAAAATAATAATATTTGGATACAAATTATTTTCTAATATATTGACATTTTGACATTTTGAATAATTATTTTCAAGTGTAAATTTTACTAATTATGTTAGGGGTGTGACTAGTTTTCTAATTTTCCCTTTTCTAAATTATGGAAAATTCGTAATACATAAAATTCAAAATTCAACATAATCGGTGATTTTGAAAATAAAATCAAAAGAAATCTCACTAAATAATTGGTGACTTCGAAATTACCTTTATCGATTGATAGATTTCTTGAATTAATTGAACTTTTTGTTGAACAAATTGAGAGAAACTTGAAGAAAAAGAAAATAGATGAAAACGTATTAAAAGATAGAGGAAAAATTTACTAGGTTAAAACTTTGAAAGAAGGGTAATGGATAGTGAATGTATTTTTTTCTTTTTTACCGGTTAGTGGTGTAGAAGTTGGTCCAACGTTGAACTGTTTTGAGAAATAAAAGGAAAGAAAAATAATAATATTTGGATACAAATTATTTTTTAAAATATTGACATTTTGAATAATTATTTTTAAAATCCGAAATACAACATAATTGGTGATTTTGAAAACAAAATTAAAAGAAAACTAACTAAATAATTGGTGACTTCGAAATTACCTTTATCAATTGAGAGATTTCTTGAATTAATTGAGAGATTTGTTGAATAAATTGGGAGAAGCTTGAAGAATTAGTGTTTCTTCAACAATAAGGGAGATAACAATGGTGAAAACGTGAAGAAAGAGAAAATAGGTGAAAACGTGAAAGATGGAGAAACAATTTACTGAGGTTAAAACCTAGAAAGAAGGGTAATGAGTAGTGGATGTATTTTTTTTTATTTTTTACCAGTTAGTGGTTTAGAAATTGGTCTAACGTTGGATTGTTTTGAAAATAAAAAGAAAGAAAAATAAGAGGAAAAACATAGAGTGACACTTGAAGTTGTCTCGAATTTTCAAAAGACACATTAACTATGCAGACATCCTATTGCCCCCCTAAACAATTTTAAAGTGAAACTATTACATCATTTTTCGGTCAATCTCAAATTTTAAAAAGCAAGTGTTATCACACACCAATCATTATGGGACACGTGTTAATTTAATTTAAAATATAATTTTTTTTCATTTTAAATTTTTCTTTACCTTTTTTTCTCTCTCTTACTTTTGCTTATTTTATTTTTATTACTTTTATTTTAATTTCATCATACATTCCACTTCACCTTCCATCCCACTCTACCCATCCCCACTTTCAAGTTAACCTCCTTCCTCCATTTTCTTTCTTTCTTTCTTCTTTTTTACCTTTCACTTTCATTTTTCCCCACCTTCGTCAAGCTGTGTCCCTTTCCATTATCGTTTTTTTTCTTTTTTTCTTCTTCTCCCATCAAATTCCTTTCTTCCAGTGCATTATTTTTTAAACTTTGTTGAGTTAGTGATAACAAAACTATTTATTTTTCTAAGAAAATTTAAAATTTTGAAAGTATCATCAATTAATCCATCTTCTTTTCATATAACTAAAATTTAAAATAATAATTTTGAAAGAATAAATGTATTCTCCAAAAATTGAAAGAGCTTGATGAAATCCGAATAATAAAGCTAAATGATACCTCTTAATCATTTTGAAATCTAATGGGTTCATCAAATTGTTCGAATTTTTTTAAAAAATTAGATAAAGGTTTTAAATTAAAGAGACTTAAACTAATAATAGTAAAAAAAAAAAAAAAAAAAACAAAGAGGCGAAATTGTGGTAAAAAATGTGACATTGAAAGTGGAGAGTTTTAACGGAGATGACAATGAATTTTTGAAGAAGAAAGAAGAAAGAAAGAGGAAAAATAACAAAGAAAAAAGTTAAAATAATAAGAAAAACAAGAAATTATATTTTATAACAAAATACCTAAAAAATAAAATTATATTCATTATTTTATGTTGGTCACGCTCTTTAAAGAGAGTGCATAGACTTTCTATGCCAAATGGACGAAAAATGATGTAATAATATCAATTCAAGATTGTTTAGGGGGTAATAGGATGTCCGCATAGTTAAGGTGTCGTTTTGAAAATTCGGGACAACTTCAGGTGTCATTTTATGTGTTTTCTCTAAAAATAATAATATTTGGATACAAATTATTTTCTAAAATATTGACATTTTGAATAATTATTTTAAAGTGTAGATATTTTTACTAATTATGTTAGAGATTGTGACTATTTTGCTAATTTTCCCTTTTCTTAATGAGTGTGTCAAGTCAAAGTGAGACAAGTAAAAATGAACGGAGGATGTAACTCATAACTCAATAAATAATAAGAGGTCAAATGTATTAAATATAAATAATCAAATTAACCCTTAAATAAATAAGACACATGTTCATTAAATTATAATTATACCTAAATAGGAATTTATTGATAATAATGTTGCAATGCTAAATGGGTCCCAAGAATATTCATTTTATTTACCACAATAAACTAGGTATAAAATTAAGGTTGGGTATCACTTTTTGGGTACGGTTTGTTGGTAGTATTTATTAAAATGTCACCGCTGGCTGCTTCTCTTTTCAACCGCCATACCCTTTTCTTCTTATCCTTTCTAGAAAAACCCTAGTTAAAAATTTTAGAGTTTTTTCCCCAGCTCTTTTCTCCTGCTCTTTGTTGTTTTTTTGTTTCGTAATTTTGATTCGTCTTTGGATCTGTGAGTTACTTGACATGGATATCCGCAAGAGAAACAGGAATGAAACTGGTTTTAATGGCAATGGTGGTTTCAAAAAGGCTAAGCCAGGTTTGTGTTTATATTTTGTGCTTTTACTTTTAGATCTACTATAGGTTGCTTTCAACTCTCTTGTGATGTTGTGGTTGTAGAAGCATTTTTATTGTATTTCTGATAGGTTTTTTTATTCCTAATTTTATTCATCTGTCAAAAAATTGGATTTTGTTTTGATGAAAAGCTCACGCCAAGGCTTGGTGTTGCTTACTCCCTCCTCTGTAACTGACTGCAACTGAGTTTGATTTATTTAATATGTTATTGCCTATTGGCAATTGAAGAAAATATAGAGTGATGGGTGAAAAATTAGATTAGTTGAAGCAAAATTTATTATTCTTGGGTTGCTAAATAAATTTGAATTCTTCAACTGTGAAAAGTTTTGTATAAATATTAAAATGTGCTGGAATATTTTGTGGAAGGATGTTATTATATAATCATTTAATTATGTATAATCAATGGTTGATCTGGGATTTAAAGATAATGGGTGCTCTCTTGCATTAAGGGTAAACCTAAACTAATCACAGTAAAAAGAAATATTAATCTATTAGTCTAGCTGATTTTGGGTTAATTATGTATAATCAATTCAATTTTTGGTTCATATGATCATTAAACCAAAATGAGTTTTTTTTTGTTTTTCAATAGGTTAGATATGTTCTATGTTCACTATCAAAGCAGAAAAAAAGAAAATTCCATTCAAGACAATATTGTCTTTTAAACAAATACAAAGTATCAATGTAATAAATTTTTTTAAATAATTTGAAATGTCCAAATTAGATATCTTCTATAATATTCTTTGAAGGTAATATTTTTCTAACCTTATATAATATCCAACAAGAGCTAGGCTTACGAATAAAACATTTACTATTATATTATGGGAGTGTGGAGCTTGACAGAAAAAAATTCCAAAAGTATACGAGGGTGATGTGTCCCAGTAACTCTTCCATTTTCCGTTTCACTTTTTAACCTAACTTTATATTTTCTATCTAAAAGAATTGGTCTCTCTTAATCAAAGATATGATTAATATCATTTCAAACAGTTCAGCGTAATTACTAACCTATTCTAAGGAAGAAATGTGAATATGATAAATATAAGAATTCTTAGGCAAGAAACTGCTGACCTGCCTTTAGAAGGGTTTTCTCATAAATTTGATGTCATTAGTTGATTTTGTTTTAGTTTCTGCACAAACTTGTTAGAAGGTGGGACTTCCAGCTTGGAGTTCTCAAGCTCGAAACCCCTTGCTAGCAAAAGCAAAGGGGGCAGCCTTCTGGGTCGAGCTCGTCGCACCGGACTTGCCTAGTGCGGGTTACCTCTCCTGATTGGTTTGCGGACTATTGCATAGGAGCGGGAGTTTTACCTTGCGCACAGGGTAGTGGTCGCCGGTTTCCCTTGTCATAAAAAAAATAAGTGGTAAATAAATAAGTGAGAGAAAAATCTATTTTGTCTAAATTTAACTTGAACTAGGAAAAAGTGGAAAAGGAACAAAAAAGGAGAACAAGGAATGAGAAGTGATAAAAAGGAAAGAAAGATTAATGTGAAACTTGGTTGAAAAAGGAAAGAAAAGATAGAACATTATGTGAACAATTATCAGATTAACATACGGTAAAAGCCAAAATAAAATAAAATAGCGGATATTGCACAACCAAAATCCCGCCTTTTGGCCATAGCGCCCAGCTTCTCCAGGACAATGGGTGCTAACTATTCTGTATGGCATAATTTAAGAAACTTATACATAATTAACTGAATTCGTGGGTGGGTGCTTAAGCATCCCTAAGGGTACACATGGGTCTGCCCCTGTATAGAAAACCCTAAAGAACCTCTAAATTGAAATTTAATATAGTTACATCTGCTTTGTATGATGAGTGGAGTATCTTATAGTATTCACCTTATGTCACAAGGTAATTATTGTTATGCCGGTAATAAGAAATATAATGTCTGTCTAATTTAAATCTAGCATCAATTTTAAACAACTCACTAAATTCTAACTGGTAAAAAAACAATTAATTTGGTGCAACAGAAATGGACTCGTTATCAAGTGGTATAGGAAGCAAATCAAAGCCGTGCACAAAGTTTTTCAGGTACAAATCTTTGCCTATCTAATGTAATGTTGAAGCGTAACCCTCAATTTATTGTGGACTTCAGTTGATGTCCAGTGCAACAATTCATAATTTCTAGTACTACTACTCTTGGCACAAGCGCCAAAAGAAAATATTCTGCTCGTGAGATTCCCAATAGCTCTAAAAGCATAATGATAATATTTTTTTTCTGACATAAATATTGTCAGCTATTACGTATTCGGAGAAATTATAAAGGTTACATACAAGCTAATGTTAACAATCTTTGCCGAGATAGCATTTCCAGCTGTAATGGAGATGGAGTGAGAAAACAATATGGTTACTCCGTGACATTTATGGTTTCTTATGTCCCAATAATCATCTAATTGTCTGCCTAATAATTACTGTGACTGTTGTTATTGTCCTTTCTGTAATATATTAGATAGAATGTATGTGATTCTTCCTGTTATCTGCATAGGAATATCAACTAATATTAATGATTTTGATGCCCATAATCTTTTGAACTTGCTATGACAGTCTGAGAGCTATTCTAAGATGGTTTACCATCCTAATAAGTGAATTACTGTTAAAAGTTTTGAGATGGAAATACTTGGGAATCTGTAAGCTCCAATTCTGTTTACCTCAATCCTTTGTGCATCCTCTAACAGTTTCCATTAATCACGTGAATAGTTCTTCAGTGAAGTTTTCTGAGTCCCCTTTGACGGTTGGGAGAACATAGAAGTATATATGCTTTAGATTTTATTTTGATTTTAAAAGAATAATGAGATCAGATGGAAGTGGTGTCCTACTATTTGGGTCATGACTGTTGATTTGCACAAAAGATATGGCCTAGCCTTTTCCCCACTAGAAGCGTTAATACTTTTTCTATGGATGAGGGAGTTTTATGTGTTAATTATTTTTGAAACTCATTTAAGTCCAGCCAGTTTGCTTTGCTTTCTCTGTGTTCTTATTTTTTCCAGCCAAGTTTGTAAGCTAGAGAAGTTTTGCAAGGGGGGAAGGGGTATTATTTTAAATGATTTTTCTTTTCTATTGGTTTTTTAAAACAAAATTTGATGTCGGTGCAAACTAATAGTGTTTATGTCTGCTTTCGAGCGGGAAAAGGCAAGAAGCGCTCATCGACTTCTGGGAAGCTGGATTATATAACCTGGACTCTCCAATCCTGCTTCATGCTCATTGTCTTTGGAAATTATATTATATAACTCTAGGCTCTCCGCATCCTACTTCATGCAGCCGGCTTACATGATTAAATCGATCTTAAGTGATGACTGTCAAACATGATAACTTCACTTAATTGCCCAGGGAAAAAACCCTTATTGCTTGGTTAGGTGTAATTGGAGAATTTGCATTGTATTTAGAGAGTACTTGTGCTAATATTTTAGCCTAGTTGTGTGGATAGAGTGATATTCTGCTTGCGATCTGCTGTCTGCGTTATTCATGCTTCTAAATGAGATGAGAAATCTTCTTTTAGGCTGATTTTTGAACTTGATCTTGTTCTTCTGCAGCACTGTTGGCTGCCCTTTTGGTGAGAACTGCCATTTTCTTCATTATGTTCCTGGTGGCTATAATGCTGTGGCCAAGATGATGAATATTGCACCATCTCCAGCATCACCTATTGCCAGTGGGAATACTCCCGCTGTGAAAACCAAAATTTGCAGCAAGTTCAACACATCTGAGGGATGCAAATTTGGGGACAAATGCCGTTTTGCTCATGGGGAGTGGGAAATTGGCAAGCCTATTGTGCCATCACCACGTGCCATGGGTGTTGGACCTATTCCTGACCGTTTTGGCGGGCGAAGGGAGCCTCCTGTTTCGGGAGCTGCTGCTAGCTTTGGTACGTCAGCCACTGCAAAGATCAGCGTGGATGCTTTCCATGTGGGACCCATCATTGGAAAGGGCGGAGTGAACTCTAAGCAGATCTGTCGGCAGACAGGAGCCAAGCTGGCAATCCGTGAGCATGAAATAGATAAAAATCTGAGGAACATTGAGCTTGAAGGTACATTTGAACAAATTTCGCGGGCTAGCGCCATGGTGAGAGAGCTGATCAGCAGCCTTGGGTCAGTTGGTGGACCAGGAAGAACACCTGCAGTACAGGGTGGACCTGCACCTCCAATGAGCAACTACAAGACTAAGCTGTGCGAAAATTTTGCTAAAGGTTCTTGCACTTTTGGAGAAAGGTGCCACTTCGCCCATGGTGATGCTGAATTGCGCAAAACAGGGGGGTGAGCTTTACGGGTACCCTAGTCTCTGTAGTCCCTTGCTATGTGGAAAGCCCGATTGTGCTCATTGTAATATTCTCAATTTTTGGTCTCTTGTAATGCGCGATTTCGTGGTATTAAGTTACTGTCATTTGAATGGAAAACAGAAGTACCTAGATTTAGCTGTGACATGTTTATTAGCTTATTCCCGTCTCCCCTTCCCCCTCTTCTGCTATATTCCATTTTGATTGAAAACCCAAGTTATAGAAAAGGATAAAGTTAGACAATCTTTCAATTTTTATATATCTATAATTCTATACTATATTAGAAATGTGAAGGTGTTTAGAAAAGTTGATTGAACTTTCTGTCCTTTCATTAAAACTCACTAAAATTGTCATTTATTATTTTTTCTTGAATTATTATTTGATCTTTTATTTGTTTAATTTTAAGATTCACTTTTAAATTAGAATTTCTTTATATTTTTAATTCATTTTTGGGTCAAAATTTCTTTCTATATAGAATTCACTTTTGGTGTAGGATTGTTAAACATAAATTGCGTAGGCGGCGAAGGAAAGGAAAAATTAGATTTATGTTCCAATATTTACTACCGCATTAGTTTAATGTAATACTTTTTTAATGCAAACAACAACATATTTAGTGAAATTTCATAAGTGGGTCTTTGGAGGGTAGAATGTACATAGACTTGGTAACTACCTCATGGAGGTATAGAGATTATTTTTGAACAATGATAAGCTCAAGTGCAACAAATTCTCTTATTATATAAGAGGGAGTTTATGATGGGACATTGTGATGTCCAATCATAAACTCCCTATATAATATATAATATATAATATAATAAATCATTTTTTCTACTATATAATATATATTTATTTTTCTACTATAAGGGAGTTTATATAATATATAATAATATAATATAATAAATCATTTACAAATGACTTAAAATATTTCATATTTAAAGGATATATAATAAAATAAGTTCACTCTCAAAATTCTATCCGGGTCACATATATTGGGACAGAAAAAATAACATATATCATTTTAAAATTACCAAAAAAGTATTATAAATAATAATAATTAACAACTTAAAATATGTTAAAGACATTTTAAAAGGGTTAATTTTGTAATTGTAATTTCTACTATATAATAAAAGGGAGTTTATATAATATATATTCTACTATTATATAATATCATAATAAAACCCCTTTTATTATATAGTAGAAATAAATATAATATATAATAATATAATATAATAAATCATTTACAAATGACTTAAAATATTTAATATTTAAAAGATATATAATAAAATAGGTTGACTCTCAAAATTCTATCCGGGTCATATATATTGGGACAGAAAAAATAACATATATCATTTCAAAATTACCAAAAAAGTATTATAAATAATAATAATTAACAACTTCAAATATCTGGAAGACATTTTAAAAGGGTTAATTTTGTAAGTTTATCCATATCACATAAATTAGGACAAAGTGACCAGCAATGTAAGTTATTTGAAAGTTACATAAAAATATTATAAATCACAATAATTAATAACTTAGAACATTTTTTTAAAAATGCAAATTTGGATGACTCTTCAAATTTCATTTGTGTCATATAAATTGAGACAACAAAAATAACATATATTGCGTCATTTTAATTTATTTGTCTTAATTTTTTTTTATATTTAAAAATTGCGTAAAAATACTATAAATCATGATAATTGACAACATAAAATATTTCAAAAATAAATACATATAAAAAAAATTCGATTAATTCTTGAAATTAATCTATCGTTAAAAATTATGTATAAAATACAATAAATCGTGATTTTGACCACTTAAAATATTTATTAAAAAAACAGAAAAAATAAATTGACTGATTCTTAAAATTAATCTATCAATGTCACATAAAATGAGACAAAAGTAGTAATATGTATTGTTTAATGTGAAATTATTGAAAACTACGTAAAATGTATTATAAATGTTAACAATTAACAACATTTGATTGAATCTTAAAATTTTATCAATGCTACATACATTGACACAAGTGGAGTAATATATATTAAGTATTTAAAAATTACGTACAGCCATATTGCTTTCTGTAGGCTTTGAATTATCGTGGTTATTTTTTAGGCTGATACAAGTTTTGTACTTTTTTTTTTAATATTATAAATCGCAATAAATAATAATTTAAAATATTTTAAAAAATATATTAAAATTTAGTTGGTTTCGGGAATTTTATTTATACTATATAAAATGGGACAAAGGAAGCAACATATATCATTTACAAATGACTTAAAAAGCATTAAAAATTACAATAATTACCAATTTAAAATATTTAAAAGCTATTTAATAAAATAGGTTCACTCTCAGAATTCTTTCAGGCTCACATATATTAGGACAGAAAAAATAACACATATCATTTTAAAATTACCAAAAAAGTATTATAAATAATAATAATTAACAACTTAAAATATCTGAAAGACATTTTAAAATGGTTAATTTTGTAATTTTATCCATATCACATAAATTAGGACAAAGTGACCAGTAATGTTGGTTATTTGAAAGTTACATCAAAATATTATAAATCACAATAATTAATAACTTAAAACATTTTTTTAAAAAAAATTAAAATTTGGATGACTCTCCAAATTTTATTTGTGTGACATAAATTGAGACAACAAAAATAACATATATTGGGTCCATTTTAATTTATTTGTCTTATTTTTTTTGGGTTTTTTATATTTAAAAAATGCGTAAAAATATTATAAATCATGATAATTGACAACATAAAATATGTTTTGAAAAAAAATACAAAAAATTCCACTCATTCTTTAAGTGAATCTATCGTAAAAATACTATAAATCATGATAATTGACAACATAAAATATTTCAAAAGTGTTGTATGTGGATAGTCTTATTGTGCCTTGAATAACGTCAAATAAAGTACAAGTTTGTGATAAAAAAACTTATTCCTTTATCCACGCAAACAATCGCTTCAAAATCTCCGTTATTAGCCCCAAAACATACCATTTATATTATTGGGCCCGTGCCCGTGCATAGCACGGACAACATTACCTAGTTCAGATATAAAGGAGACATTAAAGAAAATACAACAAGTGATAAGGTAACTGTGCAAAATCTATTAAAAAGGATCCAAAATAACAATACAATAATGTGATAGTTGAAATTAACTAAACAACAAATTAGGATACATTATAGAAAACAATAAAATGATAAGCTCAACTAAATAATACTAACCACTAGCGACCCTAAGGACAATAATTCAGAACACCCCCTTACTAACCTTCTACCTTAATGTGTTATCTATATCCTTTTATTTAAAGATATGTTATCGGTAATCTAAAGCTGCATCATATTCTGTTTATCACATTTTTCCAATACTTTTTTAGCTTACCTCTGCCTCTCTTCGTACTCGTTATAACCAACCTATCATACCTCCTCAATGGTGCGTCTACACATCTCGTTTTCACATATTCAAATCATTTCAGTCTCACTTCTCTCATCTTGTCCACCATCGAAACTACTTCCACCTTATCCCAAATAACCTCATTTCTAATTTTATCGCTCTAGTATGATCACATATCTACCTCAACATCCTTATCTCCACAATAGTATCGTGGAATTTTTTGACTGACTACCAATCTACCCTATACAACAATGTTGGTCTAACCTCCACTCAATAAGATTTACATTTGAGTTTCGACTATACCTTTTTATCACATAGGACATCAGAGGCGAGCCTCTAGTCCATTCACGCTGCACCAATATGATGTGTGATATCATGTTGATGTCCCATTCCCTCAAATTATAAACCCAAGATACTTGAAGTTGTCTCTCTTGGAAATATTTTAAGTGTCAAGCCTCACTTCGATGCCTACCTCATGTATCATCATGAAATTTGCACTCCACATACTCTGTCTTGGTCCTTACTAAACTTGAACACTTTAATCTCCAAAGTTTGTTTCCACGCCTATAACTTAGCATTTGCGCCACTGCACGTCTTGTCAATTAATACTATGTCATCCGATAGTAACATACACCATGACACTTCATCTTGAATATTCCTCGTCAATTCATCTAATATGAAGGCAAGACTAAGAGTTGATCCCTAGTGTAACCCTATCTCCACATGGAAGTGCTCTGAGTTTCCTTCTACCATTTTTATCCGCGTTTGAGCTCCTTCATACATATCCTTTAGTGCCCTAAATATAGGCCACTGATACACCTCTAGTCTCCGGGCATCTACACAAAACTTTCCTTAATACTTTGTCATGGACTTTCTCAAGGTTGATGAACATCATATATAAGCCATTCTTTATTTATTGATACTTCTCCATTGGTCTCCTCACAAGATGGATGCTTGATGTGGTCGATCGCCTTGGCATGGATCCAAATTTAAATCTTCTTAGTCTTTAAATTTAAATAGATTGGATCTTAAACTCTAAGTTATCTATATTTTCATTTATTTTCTTTTTATTTTTATAAAAATTTAAATTTTTTAATCATCTAGAAATACTTGAATTATATATTATAATACTACTACTACTAATAACAATAACACTAATAATCATATATTATTATAAGTGGAAAAAAATTTAAGTAAAAGTTAGATTACCATTTTACCCTACATTAAATTAAAATATTATAAACTATTTTATAAGTTAAATTTTAAATGATAAATCGTCATATTAATACATGATTCATCTATTTCCACTAACTCTCCATTATGTAAATATAATAACTCCCACTAATTATGTTATCATGATTTTTACTCCCAATTATGTGTTTATGAACAGAAGTCTAAATATACATATTAATTAACTTTTCATCTCCCATAATAATTATCTTCTTTATTTTATATTAGATATGTTAATACGCATTTATGTATTACCTTTCGGTATCCTTTCTGTCACTGTATCATATGCACAGTTTCATTATTTTTTTCTTAAAAATTTATTGATTTTTGTGGCTACTTTTCAACACCCGTTAGAGGTACATAATTTTATTTTTTGGCTCTATTATTAGTAATTAGCACAAATGATTCTCTCTTTAACCCATGACATTTGAGTTTTCATTTTTTTATATATTTTTTGTTAGCACAACTATATATATATATATATATTAGGTAGCAACAACTCTAACTTTAGAATTTTTTTT